CTCTGATGATGTCCATCATATGATGGACGCAAGCTCAGCACGTTTTCACCCGAAACGAGGGAGGAAGTCTTGGGGACTGCGTCAAAATGAATCTCGTATGAAAGCCAAACGGCTGCAGTACAACGAAATTCATCCATCCTCATCTGGTGAGATCGACCAACGAATCTCAAGTGATTCATCGAAACCCAGTTTCTCTGCATATCTATTAATGTAGTTCAGTGTGTTTGTGCCTGTACATGTCTGGGAGACATAGAAAACCGCAATGATGGTTGAGAGGAAGTAGAATACAGCATAAGAATGTATTAATCCTAGACCGCCTAAGGTTATTTTAGGGATGGATAATTGAGTTTTCCCACCATCATATAAGTAGTCCTCTTGATGCCTGGGTCTCATCAGCAAGGATGAATCAGGTCATGGTATTATGGCCTGATGACTTGTTCACAGAATCCCACAGCCTCAACCACAGGGCAACACCTACTTCGGTTTCCGGTGGGCTCAATCATTTTTCATTTAGCAATTGAAAGTATTCATAGAGTCATCGAAACGGGACTTTTATTCATATTAACATTTCGTTTTATCTCAGACCGGACTACAGAAGATGTCATTTTATCTTATCGCAATATACAGCTATTCATGAAAGCCATTTTATTGCACCACCTCCAGACTCATGTTGACCATCTTCTTTTACCTCGTCTCCTTTCCTGCTAACAACCATTATACGACCTCATACAAATGCATTCTCTTTGTTTGGCATCCTTTCTCTGTATCTTTAAAGCGTATCGCCTAACACTCTTCACTAACTTCATTTGTTTGCAACTTCACAGTTAACAGGGCCGAATCCCTTTAGACTTTCTCTTGGTCCATGAGATATCAGCCAAACTATGCATCCAGGCCGCAAGTTATATGTTGGCCTATCTTTGATATCTCAATTTCTCGGATGGCGTTAGCTGACTGTATGTCTCGTTCGAATTCTCCGAAATCTCACATTGCCAAGGGAAAAGATCAGTATGCAGGAAACTTTTATTTTCCGAATTAAGCTATTGTTTTCGTGACTACCAGTAAATCAGTAGTATGAGATGTATTCACCCAATTTCGTTTAAGGTGATGAAGGAATCGTAGAAGAAGAATTTTGTACTACCAGTAAATCAGTAGTATGAGATGTATTCACCCAATTTCGTTTAAGGTGATGAAGGACTGGTAGAATAATGATATGAGTTGAGCTGATGCTTACATTGAATTTAATATGAGCAAAACAAATTTTGATGAAAGCATTTTTCAATTTTGTTATAATTAAGTTCCGTGAATATTCACAAAGTGTACTTAGAAAAG